TTCAGAGGTCCCAGGTTCGATTCCCGGCTCTACCAGATTTTCTGAGAAGTAGTGGGTCTGGAACGGGGTTCATTCAGCCTCGTGAGGATAATTGAGGAGCTATTTCAAGGAAATAGCTGCTCCGGTCTAGAAAACTGAAGTTAACGGCCTTGGCGATCCGTTGGGCTGACCTCGTGACACCCCCTATCCGCAAAATTTGTCACTATTATTTATTTTTTTTAATTGGTAGTGGGGTGGGACTAAGTCTCTTGTACTGCGGCCACTTCTGGCCTATTGTACCAGCCCGAGATGATAGGTGAGGGTGATTGTGGAGCAATTGGTGGAATGAAGATTGGCAGGGGAAACCGAAGTACTCGGAGAAAACCTGCCCCAGCGCCAATTTGTCCACCACAAATCCCACTTGATCGAACCCGGGCCGCCGCGGTGGAAGCCAGAGACTAACCGCTTGAGCTATGGCGCGGCCAAATTTGGCACTAACTTCACCGACAAGCAGCGGTCGCTCTGTCGGTATAGTTCGCTTGTGGATCACAGGCAGCGGAGTTTGTTTGTTTGTTTGTTACTGGTGCCAAGGTCTAGAAAACATGGATCCATGCATTCACTCCCCCATACGTGTTCATGGCCTAGTGCTTAATTCGTTACGGATAAGGACAACTGCAAAATGCCTGGAATTTAGCCAGCAAGTTACCTGAACAACTAACATATCTGCCTTGCCTTCGGGATGTAATTCTATCTAATATCGGCCGATTCACCAACTCCTTGTAGTTCCCATATTCTTTCTCAGTAATTCCAGACCATTGACTTGAAATAAATTATATTTCTACATCATCTACCAACCCTTTCAGTTGTACCTATGTCTCCCGACATTACATGACGACTTCCGCTGTTGCGTAGTAGTGTAAGTGCCCACCTATTGTAAAGTATTTCCGAGAATTGAAGTTCCTGCAAAGACGTACATTCTTTGTTGATTATTAGCACATTTTTACATTAAGACCACGGTCCATACATAAAAATTATAAGTTTTCTAAAGATATTATTGTGTGTGCACTAAACAAAATGGATGGATGACAGCTGATATTATGGAAGACTGGTTGAAAAACGTCTGGGAGATACTCCAAGAACTCCACATAACCCACCAATTATGTTACCCCTTCACACCCCTTATTGACACGTCTGAAGAACTGAAGGCTAAACTTAGAGGAAGAATTGTGGCTTGGTTGCATGAACTATACCGACCGCCTCTGTGGTCTAGTGGTCAGAGTTCCTGACTACAGATCCAGAGGTCCGAGTTCAATTCCCGGCGCTACCAGATTTTCTGAGAAGTAGTGGGTCTGGAACGGGGTCCACTCAGCCTCGTGAGGATAATTGAGGAGCTATTTCAAGGAAATAGCGGCTCCGGTCTAGAAAACCGAAATTAGTGGCCTTGAGTATTCATTGCACTGACCATGTGACATCCTCTATCCGCTAAAGTTAGCACCACGCTGACAAGTGCCAGTCAGTCAGTATAGTTCGCTTGCGGACTAAAACCGTGGAGTTTGTTTCTTTGGTTTTTATTTGTTTTATGTTTTATCTATGGATCCTCCAAGCTCTTGCTGTTTATTATGTACTGGCAGTCCTATTCTGATATAAATGTGTTCACTTTTACTACTTCTGTGATTAATGTAATTATGTACTTTACTTATTATTTACGTATTATATACTTATCAGCTGTAGAAACATGTTTTTGTGTGAAATGTACAAAATATGTAGGTGTGTGTGATGAAGATGTTGCATTGTATATCTGCCTGTCAGAACAAACAACTTTCAAAGCAAATATATGAGCAGATACTGCCGATGGAGTGTCTCTAAAAGAGGAATCATGAACAGTATATTGATTTACTTGGCTTTTACAGCTCTGCACCTAAATGAAATTTGGTTTATAGATCCCAATTTCCTTTTGTACAGTATGTATTCATAATACAGGGTTATTCATAAGTCTGTGAAACATTTTGAAAATTTAGAATAAATAAACTGCACAACTGATACCANTTTTTTTTTTTTTTTTTTTTTTTTTTTTTTTTTTTTTTTTTTTTGCATAGTTGACAGATACTCAATATGTCCAACTTTGCTGATATGATAGACATCTATGCGATAATGCATTTCGCCCCACACTCTTGTCAGCATATCACGGGTGACCAGAGCCACAGCAGCGGTGATACGGTTGCAAAGATCCCTGAGATTAGCAGGAAATGGAGACTTTAAAAAAACTTGGAGAGATTCATTCTCTGTCAGCGTAAGAATTACCATGATCCAATGCATAGTTTATTTGTTGTGAATTTTTAAAATGTTTCACGGATTTATGAATAACCGTGTGGTTTTTAGACAGTTTCTGCTAATGAGCAGTATAGTACTAATGTACCAGTACTGAATGTACCAAATGTAAAATTCTGTGTAGTTCCTCGATTTTTATGGTAGGATCATTTTCGGTTTTTCTTTCTTTACCATTGATATGCATTTGATAATAAATTATGTATTACTAATATGAGACTTTAATTTACAGATAATTTATCTCAAGAAAACTCCAGAAGAAGCGTACAGGCCACTGATCGGGGGTACAAATCCACCATTTCTTCCTTTCAGGTAATTGGAACTTCATTAATCTTGTGGTTCTCATAAAAGGACACTGTTATATTGCCCTCATGTCTTGGTAACTACTGTGTTATTGCCAGGTTCCATAATAGTAACAGCAAATGTTATCTGCTGCAAGATTAGAAGTTTTGGAATCCAATTACTTGTAAGCTCATGCAGAAACACTAGCAGTACATCTTATTCTTTGAGACTAAGCTGGTACATGCTTTGAAACCTGGTATGATACAGTTCTAGTTTAGCTGAGTGTTTAGTGCTGTTTTGTCATAGTATTTGGCAAACAGACCCAATGTTGCATTGCTCAGCTGGATACAGATAGAAAATGTACAAACTATAGAGATAATATTATTTGCTAACTCACACTTTATATTCACTATATTCCCAAAGTACAACGTGACAGATCCTTGTCACATATTTCCTTATTTTCAACCCAAACATTGGTACCTTGGTATTTAAGTTGGCATGCACATGTCCTCACGAGGCTGAGTGAACCCCATTCCAGACCCACTATTTCTCGGAAACAGCAGCAGTAGCAGCAGTTCTAAAATCAAGGGCTTATTTTAACGTACAGTCATTCTTTCTGATGTGTCCAGCATGTTTGTGATGCTTGTGTAATTCATTGTCTAGGTTTGTGCATAATGTCAATAAAAACTTAACATGTACTGCAAACAGTTGATTAAGTGAGAAGAAAGTCATTTCGTTAATATTTAATAATAACCTCTAAAATGTGTATTCTTTGTTTCAGAGACGCATCCTTTGGTATGTCCGTGTATCACATCACATTAATGGACTGCCTTCATGCTGTTCATAAAGCTCTGAGCATGGGTTTCTTCAACTTTGAAGATTTTGATGTTGATGAGTATGAGTATTATGAGGTGAGAGGAATTATGTGTATGGTGTTGATGTTGTTTTCTATTTGGATTCACTTATTTAAATTGTTAAACAGGTTACAAATTGTATATAATATTTGAGGTTTTCATGGCAGTGACTATTAAGAAAGCTCTTCCCTGCCCCCTCCCCCTCGCTACTATTTCCATATGTAGCCACGCTCCTTCTCTCCTTCTCTTATACAGCTGTGTTTACTCGACTGGACTCAGTCTGTTGCACCTGCTCTAGCTGGTTCACTCGCAGATTTCTTCTTGTCTTCTACCCTGAAGATGGGAGCGATACGTTCCTCCAAAACGTTGATTAACGCAATTTCTACACGGTGTCACATCCCAGAAGACGGCTTTTTTCAGGTTACAAATTGTAGGATTTGAAGTTCTCACAGTGGAGGTTCTGGGATATCATGCCATGTAGTCGATTGCCACTCATGTGATCCTTCACAAATTCGAAACAATGGTAGTCAGAGGGTGCCAGATCAAGGCTATAGGAGGGGTGTGGAAGAACTTCTCACCCCATCTTTGCAATTGCTTCCAATGTGAGGCGAGTGGCATGGGGGCGAGCGTTGTCATGCAGGATGATGATGTTTCGTCCCGGACGTTTATCACGCAATGCACGACGGAGCTTGTGCAGCATCTGGACATAACGAGCAGCAT